TAAAATATGTTTCAGATCATTTGAATTCAGCAACTGTAATTAAGCTGGTGCTGCAGAAATATTTTAAAGGGAGACACTTTAAACTTTTCTTAGAAACTGAGCTCTTGATTCATCTTGCATCTTTCTTAAAGAGAAATGCAAATGAAGGAGAAAGATAAATAGAAATAGAAAGAGGTCCTGAAAGCTCAATTTTTGCTAGTAGATAGAAAAGCTGTGAAGTTCATCGTATTTGATTCCAAATTGCATATGGTTGTGAGGATATTTCACTTGTAGTCAATCTCTTAATGCAACTGAGTCTTTTCCTGGGGCTGCACAAGAATTTCAGACAAGTAGTCAAAACATCATTTTATTATCAAAGGTAAAGGACTGCACAGATGTAGTATAGTGTTATATTGACATCACTCTGAAGTAACTTTTAGTAATGTTATATTCAAGCAATTATTCTATATGATGTGTTGCTTAAAATGAAAATAGTGAACATTTTCAGGAATTGCCATGTATATCTTAATTTATGAAAAATCAAACTATCATAGAGTAGTTGGTACAATCTAATATTAAATGAAAGGAACAATTTTAATAAATTTGAGTGTCAAAAGGTGTTTCCTTGTAAAAATCAAGCTATTGTTGAAAATCATTGCACTTTTGGCAAAATAGTTCTTTGAGAATTTCGGCAGTGCAAATAAATCAATGTAGTCGATTATGTTTATGATATAAATATATTTGTATATTTACTGGAAAGCCAATGATTTCAATTTTTATTATTCAGTTATTATCTATCTTCCTGAAATGTAGCAATACAAGAAATATGATGATCAGAATTGTAATGAATTTCCTCCACTCTTCTTTTATCTTTTGTCTTTTGTTTAACAGAGCTAACAAATATTTTATTTTTGTATGAGAGCTATTTTTAAAAGTTATGATTTTAATTTTGAAAATATCTGTTTTCATGTTACATGTAGTTTTCTATTTAATATATTATTTTTATATTTGTCCTTTTTTTTTCTTCCTCCAAAGCAATTGTCATTGTCAAGAACAAGTACATGGACTAGTTAATCAATATTCACCTTTTTAAGTTATCTACATTCTGCTATATAAGAAGTTCCTTGACTGGGGAACTTGGCTCTCTAAAATGTTGCCTTCTAAACAAAACTAATAGGCTTAGAAGATCAGGTGATCAAGAAAGTGGAGAGATATTTAGGGAGAAAAGTCTTTTCATTGAAAAAGTTCAACGATCGTTTTACAGGAAAAGTACAGCTATGTGACAAATAAACTGGATATACCTACTACAAACTTCCTGCTAGGGCGAACCACTAAATGGAGCTTATTTATTAAGGATTCTTACAATTATTTCTTTTGCAGTATATTTAGCATATAAATAATTTATATAAATTAATTAAATAAAAATATGGCATATTTTCCCCTACTAAATTGCAATGTCAGAAAATAAGAAAGAACTATTTTTGTGGCAATATTGAATCAAGAAATACTGTGGTCTGTTTCTGTCCTGCTTCAGGGACAAGAGCTACTTTGCAATAAAAAAACAAGAAGAGAAGATATCTTACACTTTGATGTCCTATATATTGCTTAGGACTTTAATGATCTAATACTCTCTAATAATGATTATTAAATAATAATAATAATAATTTTATAAAGAGGTTACAACTACCAGAAATATCAATTGAAAATATACTGGGAAACTGAATAAAAGTCCCTGTGATGGAACTGAATTGTTTTCATAAAAATAACATGAGTAGTCATCAGGTTTGGTTAAGCAGTTTAGCTTGGTTTAAGAATATTATTGTTTTCTCATAAGAATTACTTAACAACAGGAAGGAAGGAAGGAAGGAAGGAAGGAAGGAAGGAAGGAAGGAAGGAAGGAAGGAAGGAAGGAAGGGAACTTAGTTGCTTACACTATCACACACTGACACATATATACAAACACACACTTTCTGCCACAAATACTAAGTTAGGTGATTCAGTACTGTGACCTCTAGATTTCAGTATTGGATCACCAGCATGGCACTTGTTTGAAGCCTCAAATTAAATGGTGCCAGAGTTGAAACATGATTCAAAACAGATAGAAATTAAATCATCTTTATTACTGTCAAATGCCAGTATACATAATCCTATACTCTTTCAGATGATAGATTCTGGAAAAGAAAATTAGGAAAGCAAATTTATTGGGCTGAGGATAAAGATGGGGATGGGAAGCTGAAGATAGAAAGAAGGGTGGTATCTGATCTACTTAATTTGGTTTCATAAATTGAAATATTAAAACTAGTATCTTGATAATGCAAACTGAGTGTTCTACTCAGAAAGTAGAACTCTTTTGAGAGTTCTACTTTCTCAAGAGAAGATTTAATTCAGATACTGTTCATTCACTGCATTAATTATTATGGATCAAAGAATGTGTTCCTCAGATGAAAAGTATGACATTTTACCAGTGGATCTGCAAAAAGATTAAGGAATTGTTTAGCTAATACTTTGTGTAGTAAAAAGAACAAAGCAGAGTTCCTCTTTTATCAATGATACAGTGTGGCTTTAAGAAAATTCTAAATTAATTTAGGTAGTAATTTGGTGAGGCATCTCTTAAGATAAAGTGAGAATCATAACACTGATTCATTCTGGTACTAGTAAAAACATATATTTTTTATGTTATACTGATTTATACAGAGACATACAAAGAACAAAATGACATGGTAAATTCTTACTACTGACCCACTAGTGTTCGTGTTCTTTTAGTGCATATTTTTAAGACTTGCAGACTGAATTTCCAGACTGTCATATAGCATAGCAAATAAACAGTATGGCAACTGAAGCAGAAGATTTCTGCTGCTTCCTGCTACTGTTAAGATTTATAGTATAGTTTGTGGACAGAAGATCAATTTTAGAGGTCTTAATATTGCAGCTTTCCTTAGAATTATTCACATATGCACAGACACAAATGTATGGTATGGAATTTAAAAGCATAGTATGTGCAGCACAATGCTAAAATAATAATTCAAAGATGAACAGATGTATGAAAATTTATAAAATCTCATATTCCTACAGTGTCAAACTGGGAAAATAATACTTCTGCATTAAAACACTGTGGAAGTAATAAAAGAGTGATCTAAAACATAGTCTGTTCAAACATTAATTTTTTACTCCTTAAGCAATTAAATAAAAATACTTAAATAAACATACTTTTAGGTACTCCTGAAATGTATTATGCTCCTACTAAATACTTGTTTAGCAGGAAAACTGACTCTGTTTTTGGAAAGAGAGGGAGGGAGGGGGAGAGGGAGGGAGGAAGAGAGAGAGAGAGAGATGGAGAGAAAAAGAGAGAGAACCTCATGGAAATTAATAGGAAATATTCAGAGAATGATTCTAGTCCTGCAATTACTCTAAAACATATGATTATATTTGGGTCTCTATGTTTAGGCTGTTAAAAAAAATCTTGCTAACCCATTCAGTTAGGAAGTTATGATCACTATTTTGTATTTTTAAATTAAAGTATTTGCATAAAACATAATAATTATTACTTTATTCTACTATTACATTAATTGCAGAAGTTTTAAACTTAAGTAGCCTTATCAAATGGGAAAACGTCATGAAACGTTTTACGGTGTTACGCAATATTTTTGTACATGGATCAAAATGAGATCTATTTATTTAGTTATTTATCTATTTATCTAGTTATTTGGGGCAAAAAATTTGAGAGCACTGAAACCATATAATTTAATTTTATTTGTCTTACCATATAAATCATGCCCTTTCTTCTGTGGTTTTGTTTGAAATAGATTTAATTGTGTGCTACAGGATTTTTAATGAACTTATTTTTATATAAATACCCTTCTGAGAATCTTCATTTTCAATAATTTAAATCTAAATAAAAATATATAAAGATTTAGTTGACCAAAGGCCAATTATCAGCAAATTTTAGAGCCTGAAGAGTATGAATCAAAATATGCTGGAATAAACTTAGTTTGTAAAGAATTCATACGTTGTTCAATAGGAAAATGTGCAATTAATTGCTTCTTGCTTAAATTCTGAGAGGTTCATCATACATTGAAGCTTTTAGATTATCTAGTTCCATGCAACCTTTTTGATCAAAACAAACACCTATGTAGCTAATATATCTAATTTCCAGCATAAATTCAATTTAGTGAAAGTTCTTGGTAACTGCAGGATTAAACTATGATATTCTATGTAGTTTAAAGCAATCCCAATCTTAATATAGTTATGCACAAATATTTTTCATCCATTAATAAAATCAATTTCTTTTCCTTTACTTAGGAAACATTATTCTTTCCATCCATATATTAGCAATATATTTTTTTTAACTGACAAAATTAAAGATCATACTCTTGATTAGAAAAAAAATTGTCCATGATTCTAATCACTATGATTCTATAGAGCAAAATACTATATTTTCCCCCTGGTCTTTTTCCCCTAGCAAATACCTTTTATGTGACATATATTTGTTCTCCCAGTAATTTATCCAAGTAAAATGCTTGGATCTTTTTCTCATAAATAATATGCTTTTTCCAATATACAATACTTGTCACCTATTATAGTGTTTCTCACTTCTGTATTCTTTTGAAATTAAATAAATTTGTACAGCATGTCATTCTTCAAGTGTTTTGGTACTCTAGCTAGCAAAATCAAGGCCAACAAAGCTACTACATATTTGAACAATATAGCCTATACCAATTTATATTATGCTCCTAATTGCTTAGTATACACACTAGAAATTGAAGAGCAAATAACAATGAATGATTCCATTTTACATATTTTTCATATGAGTACACATTTTTTCTGTAAATAAAGCTTTCATCATTCTTCATTGATGACATACTTGTTTTCAATATATGAACTTCACCCAACAATTAAATAAATAATGAATTTAATGCATTCTCTATAGATAAATGAAATTTAGTTAAAAGCAGGACTATAACCCACATGGCTGAGCTTAGCTCAAAACTTCTCTTGGAATTTAATTAAAACTATTGTCTTACCATGGCATGAACCATCCACTTCTTCATAGCCAACACTGCATATGCACCGTCCTAGAGGAACTAACCAATCTCCATCAGCTCCACAATATAACTTTGGAGTATCCCGTTCTTCAGCACTCTTCACACAGGAACCTCGTACTTCCACTAAAGAAGAAGAATCAACCCTTGGAATGGTGTCAGGAAACATAGCCAAGTTCCGAACAGTGAAAGGACACTTTTTGTAGTAAGCACGGACAGAAACCAAAGCAATGCATGCCCCAATATCTTGAAAGGCAAGAAAAAATCCTTTCCGGTTTATTGGTCCCACCTCACGAACTTCTGTATTCAGTTTCAGGATGCGATCTCCCAAATCCATCTGAGTAAAACTCTCATCAGCTGCAATAGTATCAATTTTGCTGTATTGGTTTGGCTTGAATTTAATTCCATGGGATTCATCTGATTCCAGATAGTAAAGGTTGAATGTTTCTTTGCATGTCCCTAGCACCCATGGAATGCTGTTGCAGTCCCTCAGGGTAAATTTCATTTCCACATAAATTTTCTGGGCGGCATCACGCGAGATCCAATTTGTACGAAGCCAGTTGTTTTGGTTGGGTTCCATAACATTACATACCTGGTATGTGTGGATAGGACGATTATATTCATCCATTTCTGTTATAGCGTCCCACTAAAAAGAAAATACATTCCATTGAAAAATCATAATAATAATAAAAAACTGTAGACATGTTTTATTTATATCAATTCAAAAGATCATAACGTTGTTGGTATATTAACTGATATTAAATTGAAGAACTGTGACAAAACTGAAATTGCCAGAAGTAGATTACTATCATTTCAAATGGTTATTTCATTTGAGCGCAGTACTTTATCAAAAAGCATGCAGGTTCCAGAGTCTACTCTGTGGTAGGCTCTGGAAGTAGATTGATTGTCTGGCATTAATCTGGATGATTGTTTGCACCAATGCTCTGCCTTCAGGGAAAATGAAACACAATTCATCAGAGGCACTTTGAGTTGCATTTTTTCTTTTCACCCCAGTAGCTGCTTTTTAAAACAACTTTGGCAACATTCCCAAAGCTCTCTGTAAATCTCAGTAATTACTGAGAAGCATCTCTGCTTGGCCCATTCTCACTCTCAGTATTCAGTACGGGTTTAAAAGTGTAGGGATGTGTGTTATGCCTAATATTTTAATAATACTTAGACATGAATATTAGTACAGTCCTTGAAGAGAAGAATTTGACATTGTTTCCAAGGTCAAAGGAAGAAAGATAATATACAACTATTTTATTAATAATCTTATAGTAAAAGGAAAAGAAACTTTAAAATAAGGCATATTTAAGACATAACTAAGAAAATAAGACTAATTCAAATTGAAGTGATTATTTATTAATGATTGGAACAATATATGTTTGCAAAAGTAGTAAAAATATGAAAGTAATGGAAATTCAAAAATAAACTAACTAATAGAGGGACAAATGGGAACAGGAATGAGCATGAAGGTAAAATAAATCTGTCAAAATCCCTATCTGCTACAGAAACTGCCATCATTCATGACAAGAGTCTGGACAACAGTGAAGTTAAATAAGAATAGGTGAAAATAAGATCTATCTTCGCTTCGTATCTTTTCACCTATCCAAAAGAATACAAATGGGGATATCAGTAATGGACTGATGGCAAGAATCATTCTGATTTTAAGACAGATTTGTTGATCAGTGAAGACATTATGTTTCTTTCTCCTACCTTCAACAAGGCATAAAACACCAGCAAATGATAAAAAGCTATTGATACAGCTTCTGCAGCCCAGTTATCTTCAGTGCACTGAAATTATATAGTGCTGAAGCTTGGCTGAGGCTTTTATTACAAACATCTGTTCAATCTGTAGAAAAGGTAAATTCCAGATGACTGGTGGAGACCAAATACTTTTCATAATTACCAAAAATCAGCATGAGTTTGTCAGGAATAATTCTTGCCAGAGTATTGTAATCTCATCCTTTTGACTAATATTTTTCCTAGCAGATTGTGGGAATGCTTCACAAATAATATATCTTGACTTCAATAAAGCACAGTAATAATGCTAATTTTGAAATTATTAAGTTGGCTCTATAGCATGACAATTATGTGAATTTGTTACTAGCTTGAAAATAGCTGAAGGAATTCCAATTTATTAAAATTTGACTATGTGAAGGTTGCTACATCTAAAGCAAAATATAGAATAGAGTAGAATAGAGTAGAATAGAGTAGAATAGAATAGAATAGAATAGAATAGAATAGAATAGAATAGAATTTTTTTATTGGCCAAGTGTAATTGGACACACAAGGAATTTGTCTTGGTGCATATGCTCTCAATGTACATAAAACAAAAGATACGTTCATCACGAAAGATATAAACTTCAAGAAAGAAATGTTCATCAAGAACGTATCTATAGCCTATCTCATGGCTTAATACTATCTTTTCTGTGTGTATATAAGGGTATATACATAAAAGAGCCATGGTAAGTTTATCTTTCCTATTTCCATGAAAACAAAAATCTGATGTCTTCACTGCTATACTTGGAAACAAACTACAAATTTATGATATAAAAAAAATAAAGATTTTTCTGTGATCTTTGTGAGGTGCAATAAATGGAAAAGCATTCTATGTGGATATTGACAAGAATAGTGCAAAACAAAAATCAACAGAAATTTTAATTTAATACTGTTCTGGAGGATCTTGTGGGATGAGTCTGGGACTCTCCCTAATCTAGGAGAGTCATGCAAACATGGGAATATTCTTCTCTATTTGAAAATTGAAAAAAACTTTCTGGCCTAATAGATAATTAGATAGATAGCTCCATATTTTATATTATTAAACTTTGTAGCATTTCAGGAGTTCTTTTAAAAGAGTTTGACAAAAATAGAATAAAATTTGTTTTCTTGCAGATTTCAGACTAATGTGCTTGAAAAAGAAGCACAACTGTGCTATATAAATTATTATTACTAACATAGCAATAATTAATTTCTGTTAATGTACTGAAAAATCATTCAAGTTATATCAAGTAAGAGTTTTTGCCAATAGGACTTCACAGGAATTGGAAGCAAAAATGTTTATTCATATTTCTTGTACCATAAAATTCTAAACAGATTCTGTTTCATAAAATCCAAATCTAGATGTTATAATATTAGTTCCTAATGTTAGTTGCCAAGATGCATTTATTTAGTTGACAAGGATAATGAAAAGGTCCAATAATATTTGTTGTTTTATCATATCTTGAAACTTTATTGTGATGCTTATTTTTTAAAAAGACTAAAGTTACTTCTTTTTTTATTGTATTTGTTTTAAAACATCTAAACATATGTACAATCTCTGAAGCAGGGGTGTCAAACTCGATTTCATTGAGGACCGCATCAGGATTGTGTTTGACCTCAGATAGGGGGGCATGGCCAGGGGTGAAATCTATTTACCTTCCTTACTGGTTTGGAAGTGCTTGCTCGCTTCACTTGCACGTGCACACACCTCTAATGTGTGTGCGCATTAAAACCAGGAAGTAATGACACCCAGGCAGGTGGGTGGAGCTTGCTCCACCATCGCTACTGGATCATGAAACCAACGGCCAAAATCGCTACCGGACTGGGCGATCCGGTCCAATCCAGGAGCATTTCACCCCTGGACATAGCCATGGTAAGCATGACACAGGACTCATGTGGGGGAGCACCTGTGGTGGCCAAGTGCTAAGGCAAGACTTCCCTGAGACCCTCCCTCAGTCTCATTATATAGGAAATCCTGAGTTACAAATGTAATAGAGCCTGCCAATTACATTAGTAACCCGAAGATTCATTTGATTGAATCATATTAAATGAACGTGATCACTCCCTGCTTTCCCCAATGCATTTGTTAATCAACAACCTAATGCTGCAGCAGGCCATCTAAATCCTCCCCTAATCCTCTAAGATACCTCATGCTCCCATGGGGTCCCCCCAGTCCTGCCATTCCAGGTCTGCACAGACTGGCTCTGCTTTGCTAGCATCCCAGATTCCACTTCTTCATCTCACCTTCTTACAGCTTCACAGGCTTCTGAATAAAAGACTTTGACTTCTATGCCATGTGGGTCAGCATCTCTTGGAGCTCTTCGAAAATTAAGTACAGTAAAGCCATGGGAAATGGGGTGGAAAGGCCTGGATGCGGCCCACAGAGGCTCCATTTCAGCCTGTAACAAGCTGAGGGAGACCCAATTTGGAGGCCCAAATTGAGCCTTGGAGAGCTGGATTCAACCCATGGAGGCTCCATTTTGGCTAGCAATGGGCCAGGGGAGGCCTCTGGAGGCCCCTACAGCTCATTTTGGCTGGCAGAGTACTGCAGGAGGCTGTCCAGGCCAAAAATGGGCCACAGGGGGCCCCTAGCAAAGGCACCGCAGGCCAGTACTTTGCTATTTCCAGGCCAGCATTGCGGGCCAGATCTAAGCACCCTGTGGGCAGGATCTGGCTCACAGGCCTTGAGTTTGACACCCTGCTCTAAAATCAGCATATGCTTAAAAGTTTTTTTTTTCCATATATGAATCATCAAAGCAATCATGTTTTTGTAAGGGGCAACTTTCTCCAACCTGGCACTCTTCAGATGGATTACATTTCCTAAATTTGCAGCTGGGAATTCTGGAAACTGTAGTTTAAAGCATCTGGAAGGCATAGTTGCAACTATTTTTCAGAACTTAACTGATAAATCAATTGACAGTGACAATCAGTCTCTTGTCACTTTTCAGAAATAGAAAAGGCACTTGATCTGGTTACTAGAGATAAAAAAGCATATTTCTCAGAAATGTTTGATTTTTAGTAAATTGAAGAAGAAATAAATTTATATGAATAAAATAAAATATTTATGAATATTTTATTCTATGCTTTCTAGAATTGGAAATAACTAACCTAAGATCATTTTTAAAGCTGGTAGCCAATCATTCTTTTTTTAAGAACAGTTAAGAACTTGTGCTTGTTAATTGTAGATCAGCAACTTTTTACTAATCCTTCTTAAGATTGCTTAATTCATCCATATCTTCAGAAAATCTGTTTCTGAGGTTTATAAAGTTAGATTTATTCCATATTATCTTATAGTCTTCATGACCATTTTCTCCTATGCACTGAATTAATAATGTCATATAGATTTTGGCTTCAACCCCTAAGTAGTATTTTTTTAAAAAAAATATCCACATTGCAAAGAGCAGGCTAAACCCTGTGAAATGCTGACATAAAATTCAGAAATGATGTTTTCTGGAGGGCCCTAGATTAAGGAAGGCTGAAGTAGATTTATAGTTATTTCTTAAATGTATTTAAGAATGAAGAAAATGAAGACAATTGCACAAGGTTGAACTATCGAAAGTGATGCACTCTTCTTTTGGCAAATTCATTTCAAAGGAGACATTTAAAAAGTGTTTTATTTTTATTTTGTTAAACAATAATAATTAGAGGAGATTTGAATGGCAGTACTAGTTTAGATTTTGATAGCTTAATTGCAGCATATTTTTTGCTGCAGGGATTAAAGCCAAAAGTTACAACATGCTTTGTATTCACCTTTCCTCCCAGGACTGCAGTGTTTATTATATATTTATATTTATTTATTGAATTTATTTATCACCCAGGGTCATTCTGTTAGGAGATGAGTGACAAGTTAATTCAAAACAAACAAACAAATAAATAATAAACATT